GTGCAAACCACCTGCGCCCGACCCTACACCCAGTCTTTTTGACTCGATCCTGACACTGGGTGCGGGTGGATGAGAGGAGAGAGAGAGAGAGTGTGTGTGGTAGATGCATCGCAAATCTTCTATCAACTAAAACAAATCCGCGGGTAAGGCATCGTCCCTGCACCACCAGGCTATCCAGCATACGGTAGACATCGTCAGAATCGACGGGTGAACTGTGAAGCGGAGGATTGCAGTCAACTTGAAAGGGCGTCTAAAACACAGCCCTTACGTGCTCACAGAACATGGCATTCTGTCCGTTTCAAGGGTGTGATCATTCGCCTGAGCATTAGCACTAAAATGTTCAAGCATCCTTCAACTTCTTAGAATGAAACGGCAATTCAGACGAGGCAGTTATCATTCTAGGCTCTTGAAATGGTAGCTTTATAAACAGACATGATTCAAGATGCTGGAACTGTTTTACTATCGTAACCTCCCAGGTTTTAATGCGTAGGCCAGGTTTCTGGCCCATTTTAGCAGTCTAATATTTTTGTTGTTTTTCATGACGAGATTTAGAGTACTTTGTGATAGATGATCCGCTCTTGTGGCTTAAACGCAGTTGACTTACTGTCGTCCTCCTTGTAATCAACAATGTTCAAATGTCTCAAGGTTGCGCTTCCCTAGACTCCCTCCTTCTTACCAAAGTTCAAGAATAATTAAAGGAAGGGAATGTAAGAAACTGTATTATGTAGAACAGACATAGCCTTTCCACACGGAAGTCGCCTTCACACATCTGTCCTGATGATAGGCAGTACATAAATAAGCCTATCCATTTCGACTTGGAGCTGGGCGCTTAACAATTCACGTGAGTATTTGCGAAGTCTGAAATGCCCATTCCCGTCTAGCCAACAGGAGAAAGCGGCGCTTTCTGTGATTACTTCCCTGCGGTTCTTTGACAAAAGCAAAGAGGGTCTTTCGTTCTCTTTTATCCACCACTTATAATTTTGACAGTATAAAGTTGAATTGCAGTTCTTGAGGTATCGAATCACCGTATCCGTATCCATGATTATCGTAGCCACCACAAAATTAGGGTGTATCCCGACCTTTAAACACCGGCTTGAATTCTGCCAACGAGCTATAACGACTGTAGCTGACATATACCACTGGGCTTAAAATTCACTGCCTTGAGCTGCTCTTAAAAGGCAAATACAATCATTTTCCGCATTCTTTCAGACAGCTCATGATGGCCAGTTGGAATGTCTCCGCGAGAAGATTCTCAATGAGAAGTCCGCCTTCATCCAGAGCCGTTGGAAAGGTGCAAAACAGCGACAGTACTATATCCGTCTGCGTGAAGCCACGATCTTCTGCCAGCTGCGCTTCAGACAATTGGCCGAACGACGTTACTTTTTGAGGGTAAGCAGTTGTTAGGCCAAACACCTTACTCGTAGTAATTTAAGTAGTCAAGTGCGTATCATTCTACAAAGTCACAGTGGAACCTGGTCTGTATTCGCAACAATGCTTTGCCTTCGCCTGTGGATATCTCCGCACCTCTCGGTATTTTTTGCTCTTTTTAGTTCAAGCGACTAGTTATAAGGATGCAAGCTAATGTGCGTGCTCACCAGGCCAAAGTTCGTTTCCAACAAACCATAGAATTCATTGTCAGTGTTCAGTCCATGGCCAAACGCTGGCTCGTTATACGGGGTTCCAGAATTTTGGCGAAGAGGAAGAAGTATTTTCATGCAGACTCTATTATCCAACAGGTACGAGGTCTTGTTCGTGGTTGACAAAAACCTTTTGTTACTGTTCTCCGTTTACCGCCTCCGTTAATCTACACGAGGCATCAAGATAATTTATTATGTTCTGGTTGGTGTTCTTGATTTCTAATATTTCCTTTTGCCACAAGATGCTTATGCACAAACTCGGAATATGTGCGTGTTGATATCAAAGTTACTCCGGACCAAATACTGCGCTCCCTTCCATCCGACTAATTTTCTTAAATCGCCATTTTAGTGAACTCATAGGCTTTGGTGTTTAATCAAGTCCTGCATGAACCTTTATCCTTTGCTTACATGCGACCCAATATTTTGAGTAGTTTGACTTGGGGATCATCGATCCTAAAGTCGCAAATGAATAATCGTTTCGTTAAATATTTGAAACGAAAGGTTCCTTAAATTAGTGATCATTGAAAACGTCGGCGGAAATTCAAATGCTCTAGTATCGTTCCACGAAACATTAACCAAAATACAGGAATGTGGTTTGGACTATGAAGGGTTACTTAGATGAGGCATTATGTCCGCTTATACTGGGCATCCCTCCAACCGCTTCCAAAAATCCTAGTTACTAAGAATGATTGCTTGAATTTTATGCATTTTTCCTTCGATCTTCTGTGTCCTTATACACTCAGCTTTTTTATTCCTGAAAGAAGGCTAGTAAATATACTTACCGTTCTTATTGCATGAGCCATAACTTGTTGTGTACGTCTATTGAGTTAAGGTCAGAGTCCTGACACCAACTGCTTCCCGGTAGTTGACATTAATTCCCATGAGAGGATTTATATCAGAGATCAAGCCACCTGTGGATTCAGGTTACTTTGCCAGCGAAATTAGACAGCGTGTTTAGACTATCAGAAAAACAGTCTTACTTTCCCTATGGGCCGAAGAAGTTGCAACGGCGGTCTTAATTAAACGTTCACGAGAATGGTAATGATTCGATTTATAGACCACCCCATGGACCCCTATAGTTATTTCAGAAAAATTTAATTATCAGTAAGCTGAGATAGTATCCCGACATACTAGGCTGCATAAACGTACTCCACTTTAGTGGCTGGCGCCAAATGAAGCTGATTGGCATGGGTTTTCCTGACCCACAGTCTAATAACTCAATATTCTCCCCTCTGTTTATCCATTGTTGGTCCTGACGCTCAGTCCCATAGATAAGTTACATAAGTTACAACACAAAAGATCAATAAAATCAACACCTTGTTTTCATCTACGGCAGCCACTTGACCTTCAAATTATAACACTTTCTCTCTTCCTTACCCACCGAGCGACCTTGGGTGTAAACGCCTTAAAAACAAATCGAGAATAAAGACGCGAACAGCTTGGGAGTCTAGGCTTCATGGGCTGTTTGAGTTCTACTTAAAGGCCTGAAATGCCTTCACGTACATTAAATTCCCACAGCTACGCCGAAGACGCCGCCTTCCTCCTCCCCTTCGTTCTTGATACCTCTGGTGTTTATCTTTCTTCGCACTCAAAAATTCTTCCTTTGCATCTATTTTCCCTTCCTGTGCAAAACACGGTGACGTTTATTAAAAAACTCACCTTTCTGCTTAACAGAATCATAACATCAAACTGGACACCTGCGATAGCATCCTGTCCGTGGACACACCTTTGAATCGTGTCGGAAATGCCTTCATCCGAACTTGTCCCCTGCTGGAGGGCACTCTGCGGATAACCAGAGTAGTCAAAACTGTGCCGGAGGAATTTAATTCAGCCCAACTTGTCTCGTCTATCGATGAGAACCTCGGGAGCCGGCCAACTCAGATCGCCAAGGTGTATGCTTCAACAGACTTCGACAACCTGGTCCGTTGTGTTGCCTTATTTCCTTTCTTGCAAGTCTATTCACTGCCGTCTGCGGCAGTCTGATAGATTTAATGACAGTTCCGTTATCAACAAAAGCACGAATGCAGTTAAACCACTCCAATGACTTGTTTTATATTCTATTTTTTTTCTGATTTTAAATACTGTTTCGACTGGTTTTAATTTAACGGTAAAAGAAGTGTTTGCGTTCGGCGTTTTAGCCAGGACTTTTTAGTCTCGCACTTAATTTCATTCTTCATTCCAGGTTGACGAGATATTTGGTGGAATCTTTGATCCGGTTCCTGCAGATAAGATGGCACGAACGCTGCCACTGGCCTCTTCCGTAACAGTCAGTGAGAAACGCGGAGATCGACCGGTGTTTTACACCCACGACTACGGCCATGGGGTCTGCCAGTTAGCTGACAACAGCCGAGTAAAGGCCCAGTTTTCAGCAACGGCGCAAAAAATAACAGACTCGCTGCCTTCGGAACTCGTGTCTGAAGGTGATCGCGCATCCAGCGTCCAAAGTTCCGCTGACGAGTCCTCAGTGGCTACTCAGCCGGCAATGAACGAGTGTAGTTTTCTTAAATTTGCAGCAGCCTATTTTCAAACGGGATCGACGCCTTTGTACACAACGGCACGTCTTGTTCGACCTCTCTTAAAGCACCGGAACCAATGTGATCTGCTTGTGAGTCAATATTTGCTGTTAAAAATAGTCAGTGTTTACTAAAAATTTGACAAGCATATCTTAGATCAACATTTAAAATTTATGTATTCGCTTGACAATGTCCTTCAGAAAGCGTTGGCCGAGCGAGACACATCCCATGAATAAATGTGACATTTCGCGTTCCACGTGTTTGCATGAGTAAAGAGGAAGGCTGGTTGAGCACCGAAACAGTAGCTTTCGGCGTGGGTATTGCTCATCGTCCGACAGCTACCATGCGTTCACGAGTCATGCAAATAAAAGACCCACTGGTGAGCAGCCTGGCGTCGTTTATCAGGTGCCATATCACGACTGTTCTTGCCCTTATACACGGCAGACCGAGCGACGAATTAGTTCGCGAATAACGCAACACAAATGAGCAGTGCGGAAAGGCGACTCACTGTCCCAGATCGCTACCCACACCCTGGAAGAAGGCCACCTATTCGACTTCTCGGGCACACGGATAATGGCACGAAACAGTAATAAGACTGGGCGAGAACTGCTGGAGGCCTGGGTGTCTGATCCTAATGCAATCAACAGGCGTTTG